TTCTGGGGGAGGGCCCCCCAGACCCCCCCTTCGCGTGCTACCAAGTTTGAGTTACGGTTAGACCCACCCCCCCCTGGTACAAATCCTGTACACGCCCCTGTTTGTATCGACATTGCAATCACATCTTGCTGCTATCGCATTGTGAAAAGGTCCAAAAAATTATGATCACGACCCACCCAGAAAAAATCCTGGATACACCCCTGCTATCTATAGATATCTACATGCTATAATTTATATCATTACAAATTAGATCAGCAAGGTGGATTATAAAATCTATCATAAAGTAATCTTTAGATTATGCAATACTTATTTGTATGTCTTCTAATTAAAGCAGTTTATAGGACTGTGCACAAAATTTTCTTTGACAATGGTTATACCATAACCCCCTTATCTCGAGCTGTTTGGGAAGCTAGAATCTGTTGTTTAGCATTCTGTTGATTTCATGGCATTACCCGAGCAATGCATTACATATTCTTAGAATCCTTTGGACTGGGGTAAAAGACTGTGGCACAATCCTACTTTTGGATGTCAGTACATAAATCATAATCATCATTGCTATCCAATCCTTAACCACCTAATCACATAACCCCTAACCATTAATGTAACCACCTATGATCTTGACCCATATTGCTAAACTAACCCTATCCCTCACAGTGGCAGATCCAGATGAGACGGGATACTAGAGAAGCGTTGCCGAAAGGTGTTGATCCGAAGCGCTGAGCGCAGATCTTGCTCGCAGTTCCACGGCAAGGCACACGCGGGAACGTCCTACGACAGTATGCAGCGCTGGCAGCTATGGATCTGTGCGCCGAATGCATAGGTCGGCGCACGGATCCATAGCTGCCAGTGAACAGTCCGCAATTTTAGTGGGGGACACAGAGGGCAGACATTTGGGACGTGAACAGTGTTCACTTGTTATAAAAACATAATGTCTCTGTTCGTAACCGAGCTGTGTCACGCAAAATCACAGAAAGACTGACGAAATTCTCGCGTTCGAGAACCTTGCCCAGTAATGGAAATGGCTGCAAGGAAAAAGGCTATATAGACTGGGACTCGCTCCCACCTCGATTACCCATCGAGTGACTAAGCTAAGCCGAGAGGTGGGAGCGAGTGGCAGTTTATGGGCTATAGGCGGAGCACAGGCGGCGCACTGCTTTCCAACTCCCGTACGAGCCTCGCCATTGGAACGTTGCAAAAACGTTGCAGCGCAACAATGAGGTCACGAAGAGCGCCGGTAGGTGTTTCCTGATTTTGACAGCCATTTCAATTACTGGGCAAGGTTCGCGAACGCGAGAATTTCGTCAGTCTTTCTGTGATTTCGCGTGACACAGCTCGGTTACGAACAGAGACATGTTTTTATAACAAGTGAACACTGTTGTTGAAGGAGAAACAAAGATGGAAGCTGTTGGATGTGTATTCGTGCTGTGAAAGTGTTAAATCAAGCGAGCGTCGAGCGAATTTTGGCAGCACGCTTTCCTACCTGCTATATATATTAGTGTAAGCGTGCAACAGTCGCGCCGCGACAGCAATGGCAGCCGGCAGCGTATGTTGGACGTAGGATTTCGACGGAATTTACAGGAAACTGTCGGCAATAATAGGTGAGAGAGTAGGCCTATAGAAACATGAAGAATTTGGTAGTAAATAGATTTCGTATTTAGTTAGCATTATATTTTATTGAAACGCTTCAAGTGCCTGTGTCTAGTATAAGGGTATTCTAACCCTAGCAAAGAGCGTTTCTTGGAGCTAGTAGTAGTAGTAGTACTATACTATATAGTATTAGTACTAGTAGTAGTAGCTCTCTAGTACTATAGTAGTAACTAGTAGTAGTAGTACTAGTAGTTTAGTAGTACTAGTAGTAGTAGTAGTAGTAGTAGTAGTAGTAGTAGTAGTAACAGGAGTCGTCATTATTAGTAACTTACTAGTAACACAGTTTGTCATTATTAGCTCCTGGTAGTAACTAGTACTAGTACTAGTAGTGCTAGTACTTAGTAGTACTAGTAGTAGTACTTACTAGTAATTATTGTAACATGTACTTTAGTAATAGAAGTATTAATCGGATAATAGAAGTCATAATCGGAAACATGAGAACATCACATTGGTCTCCCAAGATGGATACGGCAGGTTCAAGCGCAAGTCACGATTGCAGGGGTTACAGCTAGACTGGTACCCACCTTCACTCCGCCAAGTATCCTTGGCTACAATGAACTCAGTTAGTGTAGCGTGTGGAACTGTCGAGCGGGTACCAGTCTAGCTTAGCCGCCGAAGCCGTGTGCAGAAAAACTAGGTGGAAATGCCATGGACATAGCCTCGTTGCGCCATCTATCGCACGCCATATGTTCTACAATAATGTCAGGGCATGAAACAGCAAAAATGCTAACTCGCTTTTCTACAGGTAAACGAAGCGTGCCGAGCAGCAAACCAACAATTACGACCATTTGTAGGAAATGTCCAGCTACGTGCGTAGTGAAAAGGCTTGTCGAATCGCCAGAACAGCTCAATTGAGCAATTATCGACGAATCTTGGTATACAGTAAACCTGTGAAGATTTACTCCAATCGAATGCAGCGTATTTGTGTTAGTGTGCCGCTACGCAGCGTTTTTCACGCTTCGCGCGAGATCCAGGCTGCCAATTGTCTAGATAAAGGGTTGGGGGAACCCCCTCACCCACTGACTAATGTTATGATACTAGTAAAATGGGGCAAAAAATAAAAAAGTTAGACTGCAGGCTGATAGAAACTGGGGATTTCCCCTTTGACTACACAACTGCCTGAATTTTCCATGTGGGAGGGGGGTATGCCCCCAGACCACCCTAGCACCGGGTGCCTTGAGCACGCCTTCACTCAAATATCAACCCCTCCGTCTCCTGAAAGCTAGATCCGCCCCTGCCTCACAGGCACTTGGAACGTTTCACTAATACAAGAGCCGCAAAGCGTCTGGGCTCATCTGAGGTCTGTTGCTACGATTATAAACGTAAAATTTCAGTCGTGCGTAGTACCACATTTGTTACGTGCAGATATGCAGACACGCAGTTGCGTACACATCATTGTTAGGACACGCCCACTATCGCAGATGGAGGGTAGGGGGAGGGTGGGGGAGGGG